TGCCCTGAAGAGTTGAAAAACAGAATTAGAATTTTAAAAAATAAAATTATAACTTAAAACATGATATCTAACTAGATTGACTTTTGTACATTTATTTGTAAGAAATGTTAGACTTCTTCTTTTCAAATGAAAGCAATTGTTTCCTTAATCTTGAATATTTGATCTTTTCCATTCATATTTTGCCTTCCCTAGATGAGTCACAATGCAGTATGGCCAACACAGAGCTAAATTTAAATGTCAAATAGACCCCCAAGTGTTTTTCTTTAGATATAGGATGTTTATACAGCCTTTCCAAGCTTTGGGCTGCTTCCTATCTACAAATCGCTGGAATCCTCAAACACTAGTATGGTTGTTGAGTTTCAGGCTTCATTTAACTTCCATTTCTACTCCTTTCTAGAAAGTTTGAAGTATGGCGATACCTTTGATAGGCTCAATTAACTGAGAATCAGGAAAAGTTTTTTGATTAATTTAGATGCCCACTTTGAAGGTGTAAGAATCTGGATAGCTGTTTGGTTATTACAGAGTCCTAGAAATGGTCTGTATATCATATAAAACTAACACTCCCAACTAAATAGTTCTTTTAGTGGTTAGGTTGATTTTGTTTTCCTACATAATCAAATGAATTTTGTTGAATATATATATTGTAATAAATTTTAGATATAATAAAGCTTAGTATCTAAAATTTGGCCTACCTTGTTATTTATAAGTTAATTGTAGCCCTATTTTTAAAAACTACATGGGAAGTTTTGAGGACTGAAAATATTTCTATTGAATGTGTCTAATAACTACAACTAGATGCTCAGCTGGCCATTCTCAAGACTACTTGTCCCAAAAGATTACACATTTTTTTTTTCACTAACATCAAGGATAAAGATTTTCTGTTTGGTTAGCTACTTTGACCTTTGTTTTTCCCAAGCAGAATTACTTTCAAAATATTCAACTTTTAAAATAGACCATTTATGTAAAGACCGTTTAAATTAGTTAAATTAGTTCTGCTACATTTGACGGTTCATTTAATAGAGCCTAAGGCCAATTAAAAGAGCAAATTGTCTCAAAGGAAGGGTACAATAGAACGAGTTTTATCACAGGATATATTTTGTATCATACCTGCCTTGGTATTTCTGCCAGTTTAGCTGTGTGACCTTGGCTAAGTTAATCTCAGTACTCTTCAGAAAATGAGGGATCAGGACTAGGGAATTTAGTAAATCTTTTGCATTTTAGATTTCTTAAACCTTTTCCCTGTATGAGGAAGGAGTCTCTGGGAGCATATCATGTGTGAGAGCTCCTGAGATGCCTGCAGCTAATGTCTCTAAAAGTTTGCTCAGCTATATCTAATACTTTTCTGACATAGTCATTTTATATCTCTTCTCATCAGGGATAGTATCTTCCACAGGTAGATTTTAATGTTTCTTACTGTGAACATTTATGGGCTAAATATTTCAAAGTCTTCGCTGCAAAGAAGTACCAGTACTAAAGATTAGATTTTAACTTTTGGTGCCATTTTGGGATGACTAGAGAGCAATTTGAAACACAGTGTACGTAATCTATGATCACCTAGTAAATATAAGAAAATGCAGCCAGCCACCTATTCCCTAGCCTTTGGATTTTGTCATTAAAGAGAACTATGGTTGTGTGTGGAACTACATTGGATATCACTAGGAATCAAACACTTGACTTAAAAATTGTACAATTTCTATGAACATAAAGAAAACACTACATTTCTGTTCAAAAACCCTGTACATTCTGATTAATATGTTTGATATAGAATGTATTAAGCTTGTTTTGTCTAACAAATACATCTAGTTGGCAGATGGAATCAGAAGCAGGTTGGTAGGACAGTATAAGCCTTCTAGAATAGCCACTCATAGCATTTCATGAGTAAAGCTAAAGATCATATATAGGTTCAAGTCATGCCCCAGAAGAGAAGCTAGGTGCTGATGGATGAGCAGGTGTTCATGAAAGTCCTGCTTTGGCTGATTTATGTTGGGGCGGGGCGGGCGGGGAGTTTTTTTTTTTCTCTCACAAGAGGACAGAAGAAATGGAGGGCTAAGCGCAGGAAGTATGAAAGGACACGGGACTGCCATCTTGTGGGTTGTTAAGTAGGTAACTCAGTTGCTAAAAGCGCTAAAGCTTATAATGGAAAAAGCCTATGAGAACTCTTTGACTAAAATTTTAAATTCTTCGCTTTTCTGAAGCACCAGAATCAGGACTTGGAAAGATCTTTTAGTTAGAAGAATAAAGTGAATGAAAAAAATGTTCCAAGTTTGTTTTTGGGGGGTGAGTGGGAAGAAGAGTGGGTATGTATGTGCTGGGGTTTGCACACAGAAGGATTTGATTAAACTAATTTGTTTAATGATTAAAGATTACTGAGAAACCTAAAAATTATAGTTGCATCTCCCCATTAAGAGGGAGAATGGATATTGGACAGCAATTTCTAGCCTGTGCCCCACTGGGCTCATTTGTCCTGACTAGGATCTACTTTCGGGTTTCCTTCACTTCATTGTGCCCCTTGGTGACTGGCTAACTGGACTCACCTACTGATTCTGAGCTGCCCTTTATCTGGCATTGGTTTCTAATTTAGGAGAAGACAGAATTGTTTTCTTAATGGATCACACTGGCTACCTCATAGTCACTTGTTTTCTAATCTTCATAATGATTTTCTGATGTGACCGGCTGGGTTGCAAGTGTTTTTTCCTAGCCTCTAGTAACAGAGTTTCCTCATGTTTACTGGTTCACCCATATCATTTGTGACCTACTCAGTCCACTGTCCACTGTCTTGCTTTGCCTTCTACATTAGGTATCTTAGATCCTGTCTGCCTGCCTTAAATATTGAATCTTTCCAGCCTTGGTCTCCACAGGCCTGGTCCCTACTCTCAGTCCCAACATTGGCTCTCTAACTCCTGCCTTTCACTTAACTCCTGCTCTGAGAAACTCAGAATTTAGTCTAGACATCTCTATGTTGGTGGTGTCTCACATACTTCAATAGATTTCCCAGTACTGGCTAGATGTAGTGTTCACTCAACTCAAATTTAGGAAACTAATAGAACCATTATAACAGAGGCAAAGAAAATGTGTGCATGTTGATGTATGTAAATATTTTGCATGAAGAATTAAAATGTATCTTGTAATCATATTAACAGTTGACAATTATGTTGTATAGATGCCTTACATATTCTATTTAATTAATAAATTAATTTAGCTACTCACATCAAATTATCTTTCTTAGATGGTAGGCAAAGCCATTCTACCATGAAAGCTGATGGAGCATCCTAAGGGCAGAGTACATGGATCTAAAAATCAGGAATGGATATATAGGTGACACTACTCACAGTTATATCCAAATGACTCACAAGTAGTATTTTACTTCCTGTACTTATGACTTTGGGCTCTGGTCTCTAAGAAAGTATGATTTTACTAGATGATGCAACAGTTTTTCCCCTGAATTGGAATATATACCAATACCCAGCTATTTCAGTTTTCTCATGCTAAAGGATAAACAGGCCAAAAAGGGGGGATTATAATTTTGACTGGGGTAACTATATTGACTTTTAAAGAGAAATAAATCTGGGAGTGTACAGTGGCAGATCTAGACAATCTAGTCCTGTCACATCCAGGGGAAAAATGTAATGTAAGAGCACTCTACCCCTACACAGGAAGGACCTTTGAAGGCTTAGAATTCTCAGGAGGGATGATTTGAGTCACTCTACCTGGCAGATACTTGCTAAAGGCAGAGAGAACATGGAATATATAACAAAGAGTATCTGGGGTTTATGATCCCAATTATAGCCTCTTGAAGTTACAGAAATGAGGTCAACCTCAATCTGTGTTTCTCAATATGCAATGTTTTGTATGAACTTATATTTTTATTATAAAATATAAAACATATTTAATTTCCTTTTTGTCTCTCTTCTTTCTCCCACTATCCTATACTTGGTGGATGTTGGTGGTAAACTCTTTTATTTTCTTTATAAGTTGCAGTACTTCAAGACAGAATTGTCACAGAAGTGGAAAAGGAACAGAGTGCAGTTGGAGACCACAGCCATAGAGCTAGTGCACCTAGTGAGTGATGGGTCACCTAGTGAGTGAATGAATGCAACATTATGTTTGATGAAAACATTTGTTTTTGTTTTAGAAGAAAAAATGTGATAAAGAATGTATTATGACATTAAATAGAAAGAAAGAGGTGGGCAATAATGGAAATTTGTAATTTTTTTGATGCCTGGCATCAAAATCTTTCTTTGGAAGTTTCCAAAGATAGGTAGAGGCAAAATTCCCTTCCCACTACCAAAGCCAAAGAGGGCAGATATTCTCTCTTCTCACACCCTGGCAGACAGGACACACAAAGAGGCTCAGCCTTTGGAAACTTACTTCTACCAAGGATGCTGAGCCATGAGAGGTGATGCAACATGCAGAGACAGAAGTTAATAGGATGGTGGAGAGTGTCCAGCACAGCCATCATTAGCAGCCTAACCTGAGTACTACTGAGGTGTGATCTTGAATGTATTCACAGATGCATAATTGTCCTTGGTTACCTTTTCTTTAGTCTTTCTTCAATTTTATGTGCTATCAGACATTATTTCTGTAAATTCATTTCCTGCTTAATAAAATACCTCTAGTTTTCAGTGTTTGTCATCAAGAACTCAAACTGGTAAAATTATAATATTTAATTGTTTTTTATTTTTAGTTATTTGGATTCTTTGAGTTTTTACATAAGTAGTCCTCCAATGAGTTATTCACAAAATTTCTCCCACCCCTCCCCCATATTTAAGATGGTTTTCTTAACATACAAATTCAATTGGTCATAGGAAAGATCTTGCTACACATTGTCAAATTTGCAATGTATAAGAGATACAATTTCACTAAATCTCTGTCTTGGTCACAATCTTGAACAATTGATCCAGCAAGTAATAGAAGTTAGGATGATCTATCTGACATTATTGAAGAATGAGATTTCTCATATATACACATTGTTTTTAAAGATAACCAATGTTTATTATTTTCAAACCAAAGTTTAGAAAGCATAACCACTTCTTAATTGCAATTTTCCAAAGTGCATCACATACTTCCTAACTTCATTGAACTGCAGACCCCAGAGGCCCATGGTAATGATGGGTTTATCTTGTCCTAGTCCTTGATTCCCCAGATTTCATGGCTGGGGAATTGTCTGTCTCTCGAGAACTAAACAACCTCCCAGAGGACAGAAATTCTTCCTTCTTTAACCCTTTCCACACTCTCTGGAATGTTACCTTATAGTCTGTGATCTGCAAAGATAAAGCAATTGAATGCTGCTGATGCAAACAGACAACAATGCTTGTAAAATTAAGGCTATCATTCATATAAAGGTAAAAGTTAGTATCCGGGTAGGAAAGCTGGAGTGTGTTTCACCCTCTACATTAAACAACTTAGGTTTTGTGACAGCTGTATTTTTTAACTCTGGTTCATATTGTGCGCCATTCTTTGGTGAAAGTTTCTAAATCTAAGTGCTATGTATGTGGAGTGTTACCATCATATATCTCAAGAGATTTCTGGGGGTGGTCCTTCCTGTAGAAAAGTTTCATTCTATTCCTCAGGATCTCCAGGGAAACGGTAATTTTCCTTAATAACCTACATTAAATCAATTTCTATCAATAGAAATTTCATATTTATATATAATTCTAAAGCCCTTCTGTTGAATTTTTAAATCCATCTTTTATGAGTCAGTCCTTGATAGAAATGGCTCCAGTTACTTTTCCCCTTTCATACATCGATGTTGGTGTATATTATTTCTTATTCAAAAATGTGGGACCAAATTCCCTTAAAATAATACCTCTGAAGGATAGCTTCTACAAACAGAATCAATATGCTCTATTATTTATCACACATGCGAAAAATGTTAATGTGAAATCATAGACCCATTTGAAATGAAATAATCTGATCTTTTATACTAAACAATAACAGCATAATTTTAAAAATAAGTAGCATATTTACAGCAGAAATGCTTTCAGACAAATTATGAAAAGTGGTTCAATATTTAGTTTTTGAATATAGTTCCAGTGCCATTTGGAGAAAACAGAATCCTTTGGTTGAGAGAATAAATAGAAAAGTAGGTACAAAAACAAGTTACATTTTGAACTGTATACATTTTATTTAGAATAGAGTAATAGTTTTATAGATAAAGCAAATCTAAATAAAAATATAAGACAATCCAGTATATATCATCCATATTTACTCCATCCTAGCATTAGAGGTATTGATTGATTCATTTAATTTTAATTTGTTTAAATTTATTTGTTTTAATTTTATTTTATTGTGGTAAGAATATTGAATACGAGAGTTACCCTCAGCACATTTTTAAGTATATGATACATTATTGTTAACTATGTAGATAATGTATAGTGGAACTCTAGAACTTATTCATTTTGCTTAACTGAAACTTTATGCCAGTTGGTTAGTAACTCCTCCTTCTCCCCCACCCCAGCCTCTGGCAATTTATTTAATGTTTAGGTTCACTTGACTGAAATGAGTATTAGTAAACAGAATACTTATTTAGATTTGTACTTGTTATATGTAACTAATTATTTTTAAGTTATGAAAGGCAAGAGGAAAGGTTTCTGAAACCAGAGACAATCTCTTTACTTCTCCCTTTTTATTCCATGCAAAGCAGCATTTCCTTGGCCTAGTTCCACCCCAGCCACACTGAGCAGATCTGCAGCAAGGAGAGGGCTCCAGGAAGGGGAAGCAGAAGAGACTGACCATTTGTGTTTTTCAAGTTCGGCATAGCTCTCAGGTTTGCTCATCAGAAGGCGGAAATGAAGGCACAGGCTTTTGTACTTTAACTCTGCCTAAGTCTAGCAGGTTGCATATTTATTTTCTTGCTCATCAATTTCATTTTTAATGCCAATGACTTGATCTTCCAACTGTTTCAGTTGATCAGCTTTTTCTTGTCTACTTATATTCAAATCTTGGATCTTCTTTTCTAAATCTGAAAAAAGAAAACGAAGAGAACGATATATTTTCAATTGATAGATTCCTCCTGGATTCCCATGTGATACCCAAAACAGAGATTTATGTGTTTCTTAGAGATTTAGTTTTATGCTTGGAATCAATAGATAAAACATTTATTTCCACCAGACTTCTCAAGGTTTTCACATAAATCAGAGCAGAGAAATTGATATTTTTGCCTAAAATATTCTATACTTAAAGGCATTTATCAATGTGAGTCTATAGCTATTTAGAATTGATTAGAAATGAAGAGACAGATGACAAGCCTTGATTGGATTTGGTGAGGTACTATATTTCCAAAAGTTTAGTCCTTCTATTTTTAACTTCACTTTTTAAAATGTGTTCTTCATTTTAGGGCATCCCAATCTTTCAGTAAAAAGGACTGATATTTTCATTTCATTCTCCTCTGCTAATATTGAAGTCCTTGAACAGTAAAAGCAAAGCAATGCCTTTCTTGGCTTCACTTTTAAACATCCATCCATCCACCCACCCATCTATCCATCCATGCTTCAATCAACAAACATGTGGGAATTATGTTAAACACAAAGAAGGAGCCCACGGGGTGGTGAATGGAGATGGTACAAAGAGCTACAGTTAACAGTGTGAGTGGCCTTTGGAAAAGAACCTGGCTTTAGGTTGGAGTGGAATTTCTAAGAAAGAAAGGCAGATATTCCACTTCACTTGGTCAGATCACACCTGGATACTCAGTTGATTCAGAGTAACTGTCAAACTAGCATGTTGCATGCATTTAGAGGAAGGAACCAGATGGTGAATAAATTTGGAACTGTCCCGTGAACAAAAATTGAATTAACTGGTAATGTTTCATGTAAAGGAAAGAAGATTCAGGGCATATGCTATAGCTATTTTCAAATATTTCAGGACCAGAAAAGCAGAATAAATGTGCTTTTTTGGTCATCTTGAGGAAATAGAAAGAAACTAGCAGGTGAAAGTTCCGTGAAGATTTTGTCTGAATATAAAGAACTTTCTAGTAGTCACAGCTGTTTAAAGACTAAAGAGCTTCTATGGAAGATGGGGAACATGCTGTCACTAGAAACTTTCAAATACAGATCATTCAGGGTTGAAACGGGGATTCAGCACTGGAAGTGTATTTCTGGAAAAAAAAGAAAAGGAAAAGACTCCTGTGTTTTTACTACATAAGTTATTACGATTGTGCTGCTTACTTTTCACTTGCCCCGCCAGATCTGTTCTCCATATTCCTCTGTGTCCTGGAAAGCTAGCCTCCCTGGATGACATCACCTGGCTTCCCTGACCTCTAGCTTTCATTCACACTTGGCCACTGCCCAGTTTTGAGAAGTGATCAGACAGTGGGAAGAGCTAGCAGACTCCGTTCCTATTGAGCAGCAGGTTCTGGAAGTCCTTACATCTCAGCAGCAGCTCCCACCTGGTGGCCTCTTCCCCTCTGCTCCAGCGTTCATGGGTCCACTTCACAGCACTGACACTCCTGCTTCCTCTGCTCCTTCAGGCCCAGGTACCCTGATGGCTTCTCACTGCAGCTGTCACCCAGAATCTCCACACCCTTGGTTGATTCTCTTAACTTCTGTGCTTTTTTGGTAGTTCTTCCCCATCAAGAAGTAGAGTCTAATTATCTTTTCCCCCAAAACCAGCTTTACAAGTTGTTTTGACCAATGGAAAGTGGAAGAAAGACTTCAAGAGCCTCAAAGCTTCTGTGCTCATTCTTGGGGAACCCTGAAACTACTGTGTCGCAATGCAGCCTGGAATGAAATACCTTATAGAGAAGAGAGGTTCAGCCTCTCAGCCAAGCCTGACCCTTCGCAGACCTGCCAGTTGACCCGTCAGATGAAGGTAGCTGCTTGAATAGATAACTGAGACAACTAGGCTTATAAATGCATGATCCAGAATTACATCCAAGTATGCTTTCTGTTTCTTGCTGGGACTCTGACTGACAAAGCTCTGCGGAGGGACCCTGGCTGCAGAATGGGACCCTGACCCATTCTCCATTCTCTCAAGTTTGATCCAGCCAAGCTATGTCAGGCTCTTTTCTGGAATCTCACGGACATCTCTTCCTAACAGATGGGAACAGAGCACAACCTTTGTGGT